CTTTACACATGTGTTCGCACGTTTGCTTGTTGAGAATACACGCTCAGCCTTGCTACTGGTTGGACCTTGGGGAACGGGGCTGCATCAGCCTCACCTCTATTGTGCTGATGCAGCCCCTAACATATTCATCTAAAGAAGTTGTATTTATTGCAATTGAGGCTCTCATAAGCGTGGAAGAGTAATCTTGTACAACTGAGATAAATTGTATTATATTTCCAGATGCAAGTACAAGCACTCTAGCTCCAGAAAGGATGGTGGTTTCATTTCCACATTCATGTGTCCATATATGGCAAGCATAGGCTTACTTTTTCCTTATTTTTAAATCTTTCCTTTTTTTATGCACCCATGTATATATGTCTTGCAGAATGAACAAAATATTGATTTTACTACTTCCAAGTTTTACTCTAGTTTTAACCTGTAAGGGTAGCATAACTAAATGAATGCTGCGTCGGGCAATTGTGCAATGCCTGTAGTCCAGGTAAGAACAGACAGTGGAAGGTAAGCAGCCTCACTGGCGATATGGCCTTACTTTAAGATAATCAGTTGAATAAGACAGCAGGATCAAATGCAAGCTAACCAGTTCTGCTTGGATGAAAGAATTTCACAGAGAAAAGCTAAGATTCTTCTTTTCCAGGCCTTAAATGTAATCTCTTCTACCTCTTGTATGAATAGATAAGGAATGCTTATTTGCTTTCCTAAACATAGATATATTCAGGCATAGGGTTTCAAAGAATGTCTACTGAAAAAAAATTACCAGAATTGGTGTGTTCCCCAGACTGCAAGCGGCTGATGCAGATCACTTAGAACACCGTACGAGAACACCAAAGGACACCACTTCTCCTTGCTTGCTTCTGAAAAATTACAATTTAGCTGAGAGGTGTGACAACCTCTCTGCTAGGCCAGACAAGGCAAAAGAAAAAGATTCACAGCCAAGGAAGTGGTTTGCTGGGATAAAAAAGGAACAGGGCTGGGGATGACCTTAATTAAAAAGTCATGGTTGTGCAGGTGAGCCCACTTTCCCCTCCTGAGGCACAGTGACCTGTTCCGTTTATACACCTGATAACTGGTCATTTCAGGAGCTTTAATCAAAGGAACATTATACTCGACACCTGGTGGAAATTTGGCAGCTCTGTAAGGTCTAGAGGGAAGCTTGTCATCTCTAGGTTAGTTTAGTGGTTTGCCCTCTTGGGGACCAAAGAACTGAGTTGCAGTTGCACCTCCTGTCCTGTATCAGCATGGAGAGTATGTTGCATGTTGTTATGTTCAGTCTGGTAGACACTTCCAGTTACGTGCTGGTGTGTGAGTTTGGCAGCCTGTGTTTTTCAGACAGCGTCACCGTAAGTCGGCAGATGAAAAACTCTCCAAGACTCAATCTGGAGTTTTAGAAAGCAGGCATTCTTTATTGCGGCGCCAGGCACGCAGGGGATCACTCCACCTAATGCGCGCGCCGAGCTGCTCAACTATAGGAGTTAAGTACAATCAGAATATACATATTCATTAGATTTCCAAGACATGATTAACATATTCATGTTATTTCATTAACATATGCAAAAGTCTTTAACGCATGCGCTCTTATGTCCATTGGTGGTCTTTCAGGGTCCTCTGGTGGTCGTCGACAGTCTTCCTCACCGTGACCGCTAGTTGAACTCAGTTCTTGCGCGTGCACAGTTTGTTCTTTGGCTCGGTTGGCACACTTTTACCTTCACAAACTAGCTGTCTTCAGCATCACTTCCTTATCTACAAAGTTTCAAGGTCTTCTGTCCTACTGAATGTTTAGCTTATCTATTCACAGAGTATACCCCTAGTGCACAGAGTATACCCCTACTGAATATTTAGCTTATCTATTCAGAGAGTACGTCAAGCTTGGCTACGTTATGCCCGGTAAAGAGAACCATATGTCTCTTCAATATTCCTTTGTACTCAGTATCAACAGTACTTAGAGGACCTATGCTAACAGGCTGGCTTTATTTATGCTGCCTGCTAATAGACAGACTGCTCTACAGTCTGATGGTAGGATGAGACCCATGATTATAATTGCTAGTGAAAGAACCTGTGTTTTAACTGCAGTAGAGAAGGCCTGCACTTCAGGAACCAAGGAACCTTGTTCTATGTCAGATGTAAGTAGCTTTTAAGTGATCATTCTGCCTGCATAGACTAGAATACATGAAGTCTTTATAAGGTGATGTTATCATCAGGATCTGAGGAAAGAAGAAATTACTACAATGGTAATAGCAAATCTAGGACCTAATAGTGCAGCAGGTATGGTATTGACAAAGGTGAAAGATTAAAATTGTAAAGCCTTATGGGCTTTTATGATTTCCCAGCATAAAAAAAAAAAAGAGACCTAGTAAACACGCAGAAGCTCTGATAGTTACTGGAAACCAGGTTTATTTGGAGGAATGCACAAATGAAAGAAATGTCAAATGTGCCTTTTGGAACAGTGTTCTTTATACATATATTGTGTCTATATTTGTACAGCACCTAACATGAGCGCTGATCAAGATGCTAATAAAGAGCAGACATTCCGGATATAAATTTAACACAGTAATAATTAATGTTTCTGATCCCTCTGATACACACATCAAGTAAATTGTATGAAACAGGAATATCTAATCCATTTGAAAGCGAGAATAGGGTCTGGGCTAGCAGATTTTCTGCCAGTTACTCCATATTTAAATGAACAAGAAATATGACTTGATATAAGCTTTGTGTAAAGCTGTTTTACGAGTCTGATTTTTCTAAGCTTAATCAATTAAGACATCAGGCCCTCTAAAACACAGTCAATTGACTTTGGCAGGAAGCTTTACAGCTCTTGGTAAATAATCAGGTGAATGGGAAAGAATATAATATATTGATCGATATTTTCCCCTTCAAAAGCCATGTTTCCGCTGGACAAATAATTCTAAGATTTGGACCGAAATCTTAAGAACTTGAAGTCAACAGCGAAACTCCCTTTCATGTTGACGGGGCCCAGTTTTCACCCTGGGTACTTCTGAGGCTGTCTTCCTTAGCATCTGAAAGAATATGCCGATACCCCGTTAGTTCTTCTACTTGCTGCTGTTTGCCTGGTCGCACAGGCTTCCCGTTTTTACACATCCAATGGATATGCTACTGAATATTGAATGACTACCTTGGAAAAGACAAAACCAAACTGTCGTTTTTTCCGAGCAGCTTGGGAAACGGACTGTGTGTTACTGCGCTCAAGTTTATGAAATATAGCTGTCACAACGCTGGCAAGCATCAGCCTTCGCACATTTTGCAGGCAAACAAACAGCGCTTTGACCGGAGAACAGCTTATTGTCGAAC